GGTTCAAGTTTAGGGTCAGGGTTAGGATTAGGTTTAGGGTCAAGGTTTGTTTTAAGGTTAGGGTTAGGTTCAAGTTTAGAGTCAGGGTCAGGGTTAGGTTTAGGGTCAGGGTTAGGGTCATTAATGTGGGCCACCATAACATCAGTAACACTAACCTGTCAAAATTCAGTTACATTTTGGGGTTAGTGTTAGGGTTAGCATCGATATTAAATATTTTCCTGAGTATCGGTATCGAGTTGAACATTTCGTTACCGTGACGACCCTTTTTGTTTAGGCGTGGGCACCAAAATCGACCCGACTTTGTGCCGGGCGGACCGCATGGTGGGGCAGGTGCTGGGCGCGGTCGGGGCGCTGCCCGACATCTTCACCGAGCTGGAGATCTCCTACTTCCTGCTGCGCCGGCTGCTGGGGGTCCGCACGGAGGGGGACAAGAAGGCCGCCAAGGTGAGGAGTGCATCATGGGAAATGTAGTTCCATAGTTAGCCCTATGCCATGGGAAATGTAGCTCTTAGGTTAGCCCTATGCCATTGGAAATGTAGTTCTTAGGTGAGTCCATGGGAAATGTAGTTCTTAGTTGATCCCCATACCATGGGAAATGTAGTCCCAAAGTTAGCCCTACACCATTGGAAATGTAGTTCTTAGGTGAGTCCGGCACCATGGGAAATGGGTATTGTAGTCCCAGGATGAGGCATGCACCATGGGAAATGTAGTTCTTAGGTTAGCCCTATGCCATGGGAAATGTAGTTCCAGAGTGAGTCCTGCACCATGGGGAATGTAGTCCCAAAGTTAGCCCTACACTATTGGAAATTTAGTTCTTAGGTGAGTCCTGCATCATGGGAAATGGGTATTGTAGTCCCAGGATGAGGCATGCACCATGGGAAATGTAGTTCTTAGGTTAAGCCTACACCACGGGAAATTTAATTCTTAGGTAAGCCTTACACCATTGGAAATGTAGTTCTTAGGTGAGTCCGGCACCATGGGAAATGGGTATTGTAGTCCCAGGATGAGGCATGCACCATGGGAAATGTAGTTCCATAGTTAGCCCGGCACCAAGGGAAATGTAGTTCAAAAGTTAGCCCTACACCTTGGAAAATGTAGTTCCAAAGTTAGCCCTACACCATTGGAAATGTAGTTCTTAGGTGAGTCC